AAGTAAACAAAAATTGTATCCTGAAAATTGTAATAAAGTCCCTTTGAGACACTCTATATTTTAGGCTTCACCAATTCACATTGCCTTTCTCTTTAAAGATCCCAAATAGTGAGTATTCATAAAACTAAAGGGAACTATTCAATGTATATTCAAGATAAAGGCAGCATTTTATTGAATAAAAAATGCCACGTAAAATCGCTATGCAAATGGAAGGTATTAAAAAAAAGCACTAAAAATGTAAGCAAGTAGCTGAGAAAGCTAGTATGACTTCAGGGATGACTCACATATCTCCCATTTGGCTTCACACTATTTGAGAATGATCAACTGATTCTTCCCCTTTCTGTTTGAAAGGCAGACCCACTCCCATCCAACCAATCTCTCTGGCCTTTAATTTTTTCATCTATAAAATCAGGAATAGCAATCATGACTACCCACTTTGTAATGCTGATGTATGTTCAAAATTAGAAAGGATGTGAAATTGCTTTGTAAACTCTACTGAAAGCATTGTCTTATTTCCACTCTAGGCCCTTCCAGTTGGAAACTACTCAGTGACCAATAACAGAAACAAAACCCCCAAATTCCAAACTATAACTGGGCTAAGGTTCTCTAAGCCACAAACAAAATCAGGGTATACTGTTCAGCAGATGTTGCAGATTCTAACATACAGAGGTTGTCTCAATGGAGGGAAAAAACTACTCAGTTTGTTCCCACCACACCATCCCTTTACCTTCTCCCTGCTACATCCCAAAGTCAGGGTGAATACATATAATATTATATATATATTCTAATATATATAATATAAAATATTCTAATATATATTCTAATATATGTATATATATGAAATATATATATATATATATATATATATATGAACCTGCAGACCTCCTTGTACTACAGTTGGGCAGTGAAATGGTTCAGTCAATCTTGAGGAGAAGGTAATGATAGGAGAGGGATTTGAACACAGGAGTCTTTCATGAAGTTGATTCCATTGCTGGGACAAAGCCAGACTCTATATGCCTTCTGTGAATATATTTATCTAGGCATTTGGTGGAAATGCTCTTTTATTGTCCCCTCCCTGAAACCATCTAACCAAGTCCCACTGGTCTCCAGCCCCCAGCAGGAGCTGAGTGATGCCTGGGCTGCTAGAATACTAGTAGAAGGTATTTTCTTGAATCTCCTCTTGGGAACCTGAAAGTCAAAATTCTTGAGGTGGGATTTTGCCCCTCCTAATAGCAAAAGAACATCCTCTACCCAAAGGAGTTAGAGAGGAGAAAGTGAAAGTGGAGTTTTGCGGGGGAAAGAGGGAAAATCTTATTATCTTTCTTCTTTTTTTTTAAGATTTATTTTATTTATACAAGTGCTGGGGTATAGGCCAGATGTGCCAGAGGGTGAGAGGATTCACCAGAGACAGAGCGAGGAACAGAACAGGCAGACTGACAGAAACACACTGCTGAGGGGAGCAGCGGGCAAGACAGGAGAGGTCTGCCACGCCATGTGGGATTCTTGCTGGCCATCTGGGATCAAACCCACGCTGCAGAGGCTGCAAACAGCTTCACAGTGCGGCCCTCAACCACCTGTGCCACCAGAGAGGCCCCTCTTTCTTCTTATGCACCCAGGAAACCCCACAAATGGACCAAAGAGTGATTAATTAGAATCAATGCCAGCAGACTTCTCAGATCATGCTTATACCAGGGTACCAACTGAATAAAAAATCAGTGTCCCACCCACACTAAGCAAGCATGTTCATAGACTGGGAAAGGAAAGGCAGTGTATATCAGAAGAGGGGATGAGAGAAGAAGGAAGATGAAAAGAGGCAAAGGAAGAAAAAAGAAAAAAAAAATGTAGAGGGTCCAATTCCCTTGAGCTGCATTTTTCATTTTCCCCACTATTTCCTTTTTTTTGTATACCCTCACAAATCTGAAGGAGAAATACCAAGTCTTTAGGATTCACACAAGTAAAAAGTCACACTGCCACCTTTGGTTCTCTACTCTCAAAACTCCCTTTTTGCTGCTCTAAGATGGCCTGCCATCTGGCTAGCAACATTCCCTTACTTGTCTAGAGATAAATTAATTTGAAAAGTGCTTACACATTTGTCAGCCAGATAAATTATTGATGGAAAGGCTCATTCAAGTTACCCCTTTAGCCTGACCCAGATGTGGGGTGAGAGGAGAATTTGTAGGGACAATAGCATTCATCCTAGCACAAGTCAAATACTAAAAGGCCCTACTACAAGGAGACCATTGAGAACTGTGGAACTCAATGAATGCCCTGCTGTTTTTCCTCATTCCTAGCACAACCAACTCCCATCCACATTCAGGAGTGTGCACAAACAACCCCACATACATGCACACACACCCCCAAACATATTGTCACATACCCTACACACATACATTCCCAAAGACTTTCTGCCAAGAGTCTGTTAGGCACCCAGAGGTGAAAGCTGGTGGCATTTCTTGACACTACTTTATTATAAACGTTGCTCACAGTCTAGCCTTAGAGAATATTTCTCTGGTTGGGGGGAGGTTGTAGACCAATTTTCTTACCACATAGCTAGGTAAAAAGTCTCTTGTAAAACTTAAGAGTTTATCCAGATACCAGCAACCCTTAAAAATCTTAGAGTTTCTCCAGAACCCAACAAGCATATATGTTCCCCCTCCCTCCAAATATTAATGTTGATTAATATTTCCTTTTCCTTTTCACTTTTCTTTCCAATTCATCCCCCTCTGGTTTCAAGTGACTATGGGGGCCTCCCTGGTGGCGCAAGGGGTTAAGTCTCAGGACTATGAAGCTATCAGCAGCCACTGCAGCAGGAGTTCAATCCCAGGCCAGGGAGCTGACCCACATGGTGCAGCAGATCTCTCTATTTCACCTGCTCCCCTCAGCAGTGCATTTCAGTAGATCCACCTGTACTGCTCCCCACTCTGTCTCTGGTGAATCCTCTGGCACCCCCACCTCCGGCCTATGCTCTAGTTCTTGGATGTGTAAATGCATAAAAATAAAATCTTTCAAGTGTCTATGGGCACCTAAAATCACAGAATACAGCACTTGGAGGTCACCTAGTTCAACAACCTCCAAAGGCCAATGTGGTAGGGATACCAAACCCACTGAGGAGGGAAAAAAATCTTCCAATTCACACAGCCACTTAAAGAAAAACAGGTCTGTAGCTGCTCAGTCTGAAGCCATTTCTTACTCCCCAACACTGTCTCAAAACAAAGTGCCCACCAGTCAAAATGTAATCTTACATTAGAAAATACCACTGGAGTTAAGGAAAGGAGGGTGACTCACTAGGTTCTCTCCTCAAAGGAACAAATTCTCCAACCTTTGGTACCACCACAAAGGTACCAGACAGTAATTAATAAAAATCAATGCCAACAAGCTTCCCAGATCATGCTTTCAACCATGGCACCAACGGAAATAAATTAAAAAAAAATCAACTTCTCCATACCGAGCCAACAAGAGAAGACACTGAGGCTCAAAAAACACATCTGATGCCATAAAATAATACTCTCTGGGTCCTGACATCAGGACAATTTCAAGATTCCCTGTCACAGGCCCTCTCCCTTCATAATCATTTCCAAAGAAAATGAAAAACAGGACATGCAACTTGACAACACAATACCAGCAGATTTGCACATTACACATAAGCAACCACCCACAAGGGTTTAGGGGGAACATGTGTGTGGACATGTTTGAGCCCTGATTCATTGCTACTTAAGCCAGAAATGGCACTATTTCAAGTCAGGTAAGCAGCATATTGAGGAAGACCTGCCTGAATCAGTAGAGGAGGCACAGAAGTAGGAAGGAACAGGACAAGTATTATGCACACTGGCATTAGAGACACATTTCTCCTGGCTTTGCCAAGAGCTTTCTCAGAGGAAACAAATAGAAAAATAATAGCAATAGCAATTAATGACAGCAACCCACAACTACTACCATTTGATACAGACATGGAAATATATGTCAAATTGGAATGTTTCCAACTCTTGTTTTCCAAGTTCTCACTCCATTCCAACCAGGCTACTTTTTTTTGGAAGGGTGGGGTGCTCAAAACTCTCAACTTTGCACATACATACTTTTATTTTGTTATGGAAATCTTTCAATTTGAAAGACCACTGATATTAAAAAAACAAAACTACCACTTTCTCACAAACACTAGCAAGTTCAAGAATCTCACTGCAAATGAGATTACCCCAAGGGGGCATATCCAAATAATACTATTTCCAAGGTGGGTAAAGAGCTGGCTTTTGTCTTATTTTGGAGGCTACGCAGAGAAATCTGCAAACTCACATCCCTAGTGGTACAATCTTTGGGACAATTAAACCAAAATTGGTCTGGTCAATGTCTTCTCTTATTGATTAATAAAGATCAGTGAAAACTTTTATGTTCTATTCCATTAATCCAAAGAAATTGACACCTAATGCTTTGAGAAATATTTTAAAGGTGGCTTCTTTCCAAACTGGAAACTGTGAAGCCTGGACAGAAAATTGAGATTCAAAGGACACAGTCACCAACTGCCACACCAATGAAACCCACCACATCACTTCTCAAATTCTCGACTCTCATCAAAGACTAAAGAATCATTTTTGTTAAATCCATTTCTTTTGTATTGATTTTTCCTCTAAGCATTCAGTGCAAGACTGTCTGTCTTAAAATGCCAAAAATTCACCATGCTCTTCAGGCAGCACCTTCACCCCCAAACAAATCCAAATACAATCCTCATAGCAACAGAAAAATTTTGACTAAAATTTCCTAACATAGTTTAAAGGTGTTTTCAGGAAAATGAGTTAATACAACACAAACAGCAAAGCTACTATTTAAGGTTGCGGAGCTTGTTCTGTGTACGTCACACAGATGGAGAATGCACACACATACATGCACATTTAAATAGAAAGCATTTATCAACAATTTTACTCAAGCAATAAGCACCTACACTCACAAGCATACTTAAAAGACAAGACATGACAAAAGATTTAGGGAGAGATAATATACCAACGTCATACATATCACAGCGAGGCCATGTTGAAGCTCAAAACGTTTTCCCCCCTGAGTAAGAAAGCTTGCTTTTTCGCTCCCTCTCTTTCCCTGTCTCTGTCTGTCTGTCTTGATATTTTTTCTCGGTGATTCTTGGGATGAAATCAAAGCAAGAGTTCGCAAGAGCTCAGGTGGCTTGACTCCATTCAGCGCGTTCCCAGGAAAAACATGAGTATGACATTGACAAGCAGGAGGACTACAATCACGGCAAAAACGACTACAGTTTGCACATCCAGGGTCATGGTGCAATGCAGAACACTGTAGTGTTCTAGGTGGGGGGCCGGCAGATTGGGAGATGTCAGTCTCTGTTCTGTCAGACTGTCCATAAAGCCACCATGCTAGAAAAGAGAGGAGGAAGTGGGGTGGTTAAGGAAGGGCTGGGTTTGGCGCCCGAGTTTGGTTTGAGGGGGCAGGGGGAATGGGGACGAGGGAGCTTGGTTCCCCCTTTCTCAGAATTGGGCTGATCTTTCTTCCCTAGCTGAGAAATCTTAGCTTGCACTGAAGTCAGCAGAGTCCAGCATTCTCTCTCTCTCGGGCACCAAGGAAAAGGCAAAATCCTGTCTTTCAAAGGGAAAGGCGGGAGGAACCTGAGTGAAGGTTCTCTGGAGCCTGCTCAGTCTGTCAGTGCGTCCGTCTGTCCGTCCGCCTGCCTGGCTACCGGTCAGTCTTGTCCTCCCCTACTCCTTCAAGTTAGCTTGCTTTCCTAAGCTCGCTTGCTCTCAGCGCAGGGATCCGGTTGCCAGTCACTCCTTTCAGCCCTGCCTTGCTAGATCTCTCCCTCTCCTCTCCCCACCCCCAGCCCCTAGGCTGCGTTTTTATTCACCAAGAGATTGCTGGCGCCTGCGTGAAGCACAGCCCGAGCTGCTGACAGGCCTGCTGGCCAATAGCAGGTGCCAGAGCGTTGCATTTACTGGCGTGTGGGGGGGGGGGGGGGAAGCGGGGCGGGATTTGAACTGGTGTGCTACCCGCTGCAGCCAATCGGAGAGCCCAAGACTCCCCTAGCAAGCTGGCTCCATCCCGACTGGGAGCCTCTGGCCATCAGTTCTGGCTGGGGGTGGGGAGCTTGTTGCAGGTGATTTGAGGGGGTTGTAAGGATAGAGGAGGGAAAGGTGTGGGTAAGACAGAGGGAGTGGATCTAAAGTGGAGGAGAGGAGGTCTGCTAGGGAAGGAGGTTAGGAGGGAATCAAGGGGAAGACCATTGGAAACTGGGGAAAATGAAGGAGAGGTAGGAAGAGGGAGAATAGACAGGGTATCTTGAAGAGAAGGGTAAGAAAAGGTCAGGCAAAGAATGGGGAAGAGGGAACAGAATGGACAAATAGGGATAGGCAGATGGGGAGGAGGTATGCATTGGTAATCACTTTGGACCCTGGGTCAAAGAGGAAGAAAAGGTACCTCTGAACACTGCCTAAGTATTTACAGGTAACTCATAATTAGCTATACAATTTCAACAAACCAGTGCTGGGACCCTCTTCCACAAGAAACACTAGGAATTATCCAAAATCAATTCTATTTGGCTTTCTGTAATATCCCTGTGCTGGAAGGTCAGATTTCCTTTCCTAATTATGATTTCTTTAGACTATGACAGCTAGCACTCTTCCAGCATGCTAGGTATTATGAAGAGAAGCCAGCATTGCAATGGCAAAGCCACTACAAAACTTGTGATCTGGTTGGCAATCACTGCACTGCTCTGTTTGTGACCTGTGTGTGGAACTAGGGAAAAAGCTCTGAATAGGGACTGGAAGGTTTCAGATTTACCTCCAGCCCTACTTAATGCTTGTTTTATGAGACTCCTCCCTAGACCTCTATTTCTCTTATATCACAGGAGAACTTAGAACCATCTGAGAATTCAGTGAAACCTCTGAAACCCCACCTCAGAAAATTACATATACTTTCAGCAGGTTCCTGGGCTTTCAAAAACCAAGGACTCACTTATATAGAAAGTCTCTCTGAGGTTCTTTCTTACTCTTATATTTTGGGACTGTGTAAATGAACAGATAGATATTGCTGGAGATTGGGAATAAACTAGATTAGCCAATGATAGAATAAATTAAGTTCTGGAAGTCCTAGTGTTACAGGGCAGGGAGAGGGGCAGCCCAATCCCTGCAAACCTGCCTATTCTAAATGGGTTCAGCCATCCGCCGCATCAACACAAAACATATGAGACTTTAATGGGAAGGAACTTTAATACATCTAGGAAACAATACTGGAAAGGCAAAGAATATAGTTTCTAAATCAAGCACCCAAAGTTACCCGTCCCCTCATGGGTAAAAGTCCATCCAAATGGGATTGGCCCAGAGCAAGGCCCCAAAGCCTGCCACAAGTCTAAAGCATCTTCCAGTGGGGACCCACAGAGAAGGGTCAGAAACAACCAGACAAGCCCGGAAGGAAAAGAGCAAAATCAAAATCAAGATGAAAGCTGCCATTGTCTCCTCCCCACGGGTCTCACCCACATCTGTGTCACCCAGTCCACAACCAAAAGGCAAGCACAGGGCCTCCCTGGTGGCGCAGCGGTTGAGCGCTGGGTTGCAAAGCTGCCCACAGCCTCGGCAGCGCAGGTTCGATCCCCGGCTGCTCCCCGGCCACCGGAGGAGGGTCCCACATGGCCCACAGACCTCTCCTGCCGCACACTGCTCCCCTCAGCAGTGTACTTCAGTCCTTCTGCCTGCTCTGCTCCCCACTCTGGCTCTGGTGAATTCTCTCACCCTCCCGCACTTCTGACTGTACCCAGTGCTTGTATAAATAAATAAATAAATAAATCTTTAAAAAAAAAAAAAAGAAATACCCACGGAATTAAATTTTTAAAAAAAAAAAAAAGGCAAGCACAGTTTCTTCACGTGTCTCTTGGCTCCATGTGCCTCCTCCAGGTCTCCCTCTGGCTCTCCATCCTGCTTCCTTCCTTCCTCAGTCTCCTCTGCTGCTTTTTCTCTCCCTGCTCAGCTCCACCCTCCATTTGGGTGAGGCAGGGAACCTGGAACCTCCCCCTTTCCTGGGGACCACCCTGTTACACTAGCATCTTATGGACTCTAAAATGAATGGGAATTCCTTTCATGTCTCTAGAAATTCTTGAGGCTAGGAGTCACCCATCTTAACTAGATGACTGGAAATTCTGAATAAATGAAGCTCATAAACAAAATGGCCCCTGGATCTATAAGGTAGAATAAAATCCAAAGAAGTATCCAGTTTAAAAGGTTTTGACTCATAACACTACCTATGAATGATTCCGTCAAAACAACAACAACAACAACAAAACCCTGAATCAGATCAAGCTTCTCAATCCAACTATAAATTTATAGAACAAGAGGACATAAAAACATATTAGACTTCTATACATGGATACAGACTGTAAAATATACAGGACCCAACAACCCAGTTCTTCAGCAAATAAATGGGGAGAAAAAAAGAGATTGACTCAGGTAGAACTTGAGACAACTGGGAATTTAAACAAACTAAATATTTGAAGATATTAAGGAATCACTATTCATCGCTTATATGCAATTATATGTGATTTTGATATTGTGGCTAAGTTTAACAAAATAGGTGAAATAGGGATAAATCTTTGTGACCTAGGATTTGGCAATGGTTTCTTAAATATACTATGAGAAGCACAAGAAACAAAATAATGAAATTATATTTCATCAACATTAAAAACTTTTGTGCTTCTAGGGCATCCCTGGTGACCTAGGGGTTAAGTCTCAGTGCTATCACCTCTACAGCCTGAGTTGTCTCCTGGCCAGGAGCTAACCCTCATATAGCACAGCAGCATAAGCCTCCTGTGTTGCCAGCTGCTCCCCTTAGCAGTGTATTTCAGTAAATCTGCCTTTTCTGCTCCCCACTATGTCTCTGGTGAATCCACTCACCCCCTGCACCTCTGGCCTACACTCCAGTTCTACACACACACACACACACACACACACACACACACAATTAAAAATAACTATTGTACTTCAAAGGAACTATCAAGTGTATGAAAAGAAAACTGCAAAACTGAAGAAAATATTTGCCAATCATATATCTGATTAAGAGATCTATATCTAAAATATATAAAGAACTCTTAGAACACAATTATCAAAAGAAAAAGAACCTAACAAAAAAATTAGCAAAAAATCTAAATAACATTTCTCTAAGGAAATGGTCAATAAGCATATAAAAAGATGCTCAAAGTGTTGGCCATCAGAAAAATGTATCAAATGCAGGAAATGCAAATGCAGGATATTTACTACAACATTAATTGTAATAAGATAACTAATTTAGGGCCTCCCCCCTGGCACAGCAGTTGAGTGCTGGGTTGCAAAGCTGCCCGCAGCCTCTGCAGCGCCTGTTGGATCCCCGGCCACTGGGAGAGGGTCCCACATGGCGCGCAGATATCTCCTGCCACCCGCTGCTCCCCCCAGCAGTATATCATCATTCTGCCTGTACTGTTTCCCGCTCTGGCTCTGGTGAATTCTCTCACCCTCCCGCGCTTCCGACTGTACCAGTGCTTGTATAAATAAATAAATAAATCTTTTTAAAAAAGATAACTAATTTATACCTACTAGAATGGCTATAATCAAAAAACTAGGTAATACACATTTGAGAAAGATATGGAAAATTTGGAATCTTTTTAACACTGCTGGTGGGGATACAAAATGATGAAGCCACACTTTGGTAAAACAGTCTGGCAGTTCCTCAACTAACATAAATGAAATATGTCCATACAAAAAATTGTACATGAACATTCATAACAATATTATTCACGATAGTGAAAAAATGGATACAACTCAAATGTCTATCAAATGGTCAGTGGATCAACAAAAGCGGTTGTGTGTGTGTGTCTCCATACAAAGGAATATTGTTCAGCGATAAAAATAAAGTATTGTAATGTGCTACATTATGGACAGACTTTGAAAATAGTATGTGCTAAATTGATAAACTTTGAAAATATTATTCTAAATGAAAGAAACTAGACACAAAAGCTTTTGTATTATTCCTTTTATATGAAAAGTCCATCTAATTACAGTAAATGTTGTTTAATGAAGCTTTTGTTTTAGCTACATATAATAAATGTGCTAGATTATGATGTAAAATGTTTGTCATATACAGGGTAATGGTGAAAGCAGCATAAAAGTCACTCTTCTAAGAATATGTTGAACAATACTAGTGATCAGGACAGAGCCATAATGTAAGCAAATAAAATCTTTCTCCTTGTCATTGAAAGTGTAATTTTAACTATCTCCACTATTTATTGACCTTTCAACCTACAGCAGCCTGGCTTTCACCCCCATCATCCCATAAGAAACTGGATTTCTTATGAGTATAAACAAATGACCAACTTGTTGCTGAATCTCCTAGTTAATATTCCATCTTTACCTTCCCTTACTTCTCTCTCCACTGATGCCTTCTTAGTTCCTGAAATTCACCCTTTGCCTTGGGACACCATCCATATGACATGACCAGATATAAATGCTGTTACTACCTGGCAGGGTTCTTCTTCATCCAGTCATTAAAGCCATGATTTCTTAGGATTCTTACAATCGTATTCCCCTTTTCATTTCATTCCATGTTTTCCCCAGTGGTAGAATGGTATACTCATCCATTCCCAAAATTTGAACTAATCACCAACTTTACACACTTATGTGCTTCCTTTCAACAAAATTATTGGGCACCTGTGTGAGACAAAAGGCATAGGTCCTTGCATTCATTGGTCTTACAACTGTCTGCTATCCCCAGATAGCTCTCTTGAACTCCAGAGATCTGTTTATTTCATGATTGAAGTTATCTTCTCTTACTCCTTCCAGCTT